AAATTTAAATCTAAACAACTATTTTACATTAAAAAATAACAACAAAATACATTTGAAATTTGAAATATGTAACAGCCATTTCTGTCACATTGCTGCGTCCTTTGGCAGCTCTGCAGCATGCTTGGTCCCTTAGCAGCTCTACAGCATGCTTGGTAACTCTGTAGCCTCTCATTTCATTTACATTTGCATTTAAGTTGCTGTTCATTGCAGCCTCATTTGATCAACATTTGCAGCTTAGCTTGCTGCACATTTTTGCTGTCATTTGACAGCTCATTTTCACCATATTTGCAGCTAAATTGCTGCACTTTGCTGCTACCGTCCTATTGGTGCAGCTCTCCCTTCATTTTGCTGCCATTTTGTGCAGCCCTTCAATTTCATTTGCTGCTACTTTTGCAGCTTGAACACCACTGCTCCAACAGCTTCAAAAATTGATGAGATTAAATCTTGAATAATTGATCTCACCAGAAGCTTACAAACTTATGGAATAACTGCAAGAAAAGAAGAAGGAACTAGCTTAGCATTTGAGAGGGAGAGGCAGCTCAGGTGGTCTTATTCCCATGTCGTTGAAGAGTATATTGTTGGGTTTGATGAAGATATGAGGCAACTGATAGCACAGCTAGTAAATGAAGAGAAATGCAGAGTTGTGTCTATCTGTGGTATGGGTGGTCTGGGAAAGACCACCATGGCAAAAGCTGTTTACCATCATGGTGATATAAGGAGACATTTTGAAGGGTTTGCTTGGGCATATGTGTCTCAGCAGTGCAAAAGAAGAGATGTTTGGGAGGGGATTTTGCTGAAACTTATCACTCCATCTAGGGAGGAGAGGGAGGAAATTTTAAGAATGAGAGATGATGATTTGGCAAAGAAGCTTTATAAAGTTCAAAAAGAAAAGAAGTGTTCGGTGGATGATATTTGGAGCACTGAGGCATGGTCTACTCTTAGTGTTGCTTTTCCAAATGAAACTGCTTCTGGTAGCAAAATACTGCTTACAAGACGCAACAAAGAGGGAGCTTTGATTTCTGACCGAGAGGGATTGGTTCATGAACCAAACTGTTTGAATGAAGAAAAGAGTTGGGAGTTATTCCAAAGGAAGGCATTTCCAAGGAGAGGCGATTCAGGTAGACAATCATATAACATGCTCTTCAATCTCCAGATCTAATTTTGTTACTTTTTCTGACTACATAAACCGGAGTAAGCAAACTGCTTTAATCTAATCTTACACTTAGGCCGTTGGTTGAAATTGGATGTGTTATTAATTCAATATTACGAATGTTAAGTACATGTCTGTGACAATTAAAATTAAGTTTCTGTTGTTGGCATGTTTTATATAGATACATGTTTTAACTTTTATGAATCTGGCGATGTCAATCTCATTGTCATATCGGATGAAATAAACTTCTATATTGGTTGTTCAACCTTCTTGAAGCATGCATGCTAAGGGAATTAATGATTATTGGTGGAAAATATGATGCTCTATGTTTTGGGTTTATGTGCATGAAATAAATTTTTAAAAATTTCCTTTTTTTCTTGTAGAGCTCAAAATCAATGAAGATAAGGAGAAGCGAGGGAGGGAAATGGTTGGAAGCTGTGCCGGTTTACCTTTGGCGATTGTTGTGCCCGGAGGGCTTTTGGCAACAAACGAAACATTGATTGAGTGGGACATGGTGAACAGAAATATCAGGTCTTATTTGGCCAAAACTAAAGGCCATGAACAAGCAAGATTATGATGGGGAGAAAAGCCAATTTGCAAATTATATTTCCATTGCATTTTTTTTCTTTATGTTTAACTTTACTGATGTGAATTGGTACATAAATTTTTTTTAGTGTTATCCTTTGTTAGGATCTTGCTTTTTCATGTATTTTCATAGGAAATTCAAAGAGAAGGTGATGTATCTGTTGTCTGTGGAAGTGAAGATTTCTAGTCTTCTAGCCTTTTAGGGCATGTTTGGAATCCCGGACATAACTCATGGTTGAATAAAAATTAGTCCTAAACTGCTGTAACCCACATTTGGTCCTGTCTCAAAATTTGACAAATTGTAACCTACACTTTGTGCCGTCCCAACCAACTAAATTAAAAGTTATCCCACTCCCCGAAAGGATTACATGGATGGGATTTCATTTTTACAGACTTTACAGGGCAAAAACCCTTCGTTTGCCTTTCAACTTTTTGAATTTAAGGCATTTTACCTCTCATATTACAATATATGATTATTTACCCTCCATATTTTCGAGTTTAGGGAAACGAGACAAAATTAAACGTCGAAAGGTCACGTACAGCACGTGGATCGTTAATTTCCATTATATATTCATGTTCCAGTGCCAACTCAAATTTTTTTACATGTTGACAAGT